GAAGAGGCGAAGTGCTCGATGGGCAGCACTGGCAGTGCTGCTAGTGCCAGTAGTACTACTACTACTACTACTACTACTACTACTGCCAGCCGGACTCCCACAGATGAGCTTCTCAAGTGCACAATGAACTATGGGGGAAAAAACACCCCTCAAAACTGCTCCAAAACACAGCTACAGCAATATACTCCGAAACGAATCGGCAGCGGCCCCCGCCGCTTTCATGCACTAAGAGAAACGAAAGAAGTGTTTCATGAGGGAAAGAATTGCAAAAAGCATGGAGCTGACACGAACGAAACAAAGAGAATTGCAGCGAAGCAGAATGACAAGGAATTCTATAAGACAGCAAAATTTCCCGGAGTACCCGAGAATTTCCGGCAAAACGCACGCAAAGCTGGATGCTCAAAGAAAGCTGAATCACGAAATGTTAAAAACAGAAGCAGGCAGAACGGCGGGCATATGAGGAAACAGCAAAAGGCATAAGGAATCAGAGGGGTGAGCTGTGTACCGGAAATGCGACATATTCTGGCGCAAGAAAGCAACGAAAACTGTGTAAGCTGAAAACTAAAACACCACTGCTATAAATGGCGCCACCGCTATTACCGACATGCACACAGACACACGCACACACACGCACGCAAACAGACGCACACACACATGCTCGCTTCCTTCTTGCCTAATTAGATTTTATAACGATATCACCCGAGGCGGCTAAAATACAACCATATTCACAAACAAACCTCTACAGACATATATATCACATACACACGTACACATGCATAACCCATGTTGCTTAATTAGTTTATAACAATATTACCTGCGACAGCGCGAAGCATACCCTAATTTATGCACACATAGATACACGTACACACACACACACACATACACACACACACACACACATACACACACACAGATACATGCAGGATCACTAAGTGCTATAGCCTTGGAACTACTAAAGTTCGGCTCAGCTGGGTCAGGGTGTAAGTTGCGATTATTACAGTTTGCCTCTCGGATTATCAACGGGTTTGAATCGGAACCTCAGTTTGAACGGTGAGGCAGGGGCAGAGGTGGAGAGGAGCATCGGAGAAGCTGGTTTACATGGACCATGGAAGAGCGAAGGGGACTGAAGTGTAATGACTGGAAAGGAGCTGAACTTCTGCTTGTAGATAGAAATTGGAATTAGGAAGGGGATCACAGCAGTGGAGATACGTGAATTTACGATACTTGACGTCAAGTTTCTCTCTTGGCATCATAAATTCACAATCGAAGAAGCAGAGATTCAGTTGGCTGATGGAGAAAATAATGATATTGCTGGCAACAAAATCAGACTGCAACACCTGAAACACGAACGATGATCACACAACAGTGGGAAAATTGTTAAACCCAAGATATGCTTTGTAATAATTTTGAAAATAAAAGGGAAGTCATGCACTTGTTTTCTCGCTATTTTTGATTTCTTCGAGCACTGTTATAACAGTGCTTCATATGCAAGATAACAGTGCTTCATATGCAAGTGTATTAATGATCCAGTTTTTATGCGTTTTTGCATACATGCAAATTGCAATAAGT